GGGGAATACTGGTATAAAATTCTGAGTATACTGGCTACTGGTCATGAACTTGATTCGAGCATCTTAACTATGTCATAACTGAGGAATTTCTGAGCATAGAAATAGTAAATAGTTTATAATTTGAAACTTAATCAGCACTTACCTGGTAGTCGGCGAGGCGTGAGCGGAGTGTGGTCGGGTTTTCTGAAAACTTTCTGACTTACTAAAGTATTCAGATACACAAAAACGTGCTCTGATACCAACTGTAACACCCCGCTTTTCCATAGATATCAGAGTGCATTTTTCGCAAAACTTTTCTTAATAATACATATTTATTTGCGAAATCCTTTTTGGGATGCTACTAAAAACCATTCGTTGCTTTGAAAAATCCGTTATCTCTATTGAAATTTAACTTTGAAGAATAAACGGATTAATTTAGATTAACTGGCATGTAACACTTTATAAAAATCTGTCTGATAAATTAGTTTAAAAATAAAAACTGACATGCTAGTTGAAATATCGTAAAGTGACAGCGGAAGTCATACGTGGCAAAACATAGCTGTACAATAATGTACAATGGCTGCTAGCCATATCTCTGACCACGATCCACAAACCAGCTCACTCTTCTAGTCCGACGCTGTAATCTGAAAAACATGATAAAACTGGGGAGTGAGCACTAAAGCACTGTGCTCCGTGGAAACTCATACTAAAGTAAACATTAATAATAATTGCAATATCATGATCTAAAGCATACATATAACTGAACTGTCATGTCATGTACTGTAACTGCGATCAACCGTAACTGCTACGGGATCGAATGCTGTATCTGGCGGCTATAATATGCTGCGCCGCGCCTATGTGCACACTCTAGTGGGCAGATTACGCCACTAGAACTCAGATGGTCTTACTTTGTCTAGCCTCACTGATCAGGAACTGAATATACATACCTTGAACATGATAACTGTAATTATACTCAATGTAGTACTTAGTCTGAGTTCCCACCTGAACTGCTGATCTGAAAATGTAAGTGCTGATATCTGCATCCTGATCAAACTGAAAATAATATAAACATTTACTACATACTATGCTCAGACTAATAAAATAACTGATTAACATGTTAAGATGCTCTACTGGACTTTAAACATGATATCTGGACTTATCCGGTATAACCGGAACTGAACAAACTCGGAACTGGACTGACATGAATTTACTGAACTGGTCTGGACCCGGAATTTAACTGAAATAGACACTTAAATTAAGGACCGGGCTGAACTTTTTAAAATACGAACTAAACTGTATAAATTGGGATTGGACCGGTCCAGCCGGTCTGAACCGGTCTGGACCGGACGGTCGGTCCGCTGAACCGGACTGATGATTGCTGACTTGGCCTGTGGCCTACCGAGGCTACGCACATGGGCGCTGTCCGGCCTGACCACGGGCGCTGGGATTTACGGGCTGACTGTCAGCGGCACTGGGCGTGTCCGCTGGGCATGACTGGCTTCGGGCGCGCGCTGGACGACGCGGCGTGCTACTGGGCTTCGC